TAAGAGGATTTCAAATGAGGTTTACATAGAGCATTTCTTCTTTTTAAAGTAGATAATCTATCTGCATCAATGCTGTTCAAAAAATTATCATCTTTCATATCACCTAATAATTTGAATTTAGTAGTTTCATTAGTAAATTAAATCAATTAGTATTCATATTACTTAATAAATAGTTTTCAATTTACCTAAATAGATATTATCAAATACTTCTCCTTCTTCATCCTCTACATTAAATGCATTACCCATTTTTTGTATGCTCTTAATACTACATTTTCGTTCATATATTGTTTTTTCTTGTATTACTGCAATTTTATGTAAAATTTCTTTATTTTCTCCTAACAAGTCCTTGTCACGTCTGAAAAAACCGTTTAAATAGGTTTAAAATATCTATAAAATATCTACAACGAATAAATTAATTTTTTACCATTATTTATTACTATAAAATGAATCTTACTTAGAATTTTTGTGCTCTATTAAAGAAACAATTTCCTGATTTAAATTTTGATATTTAGTTTTCAGTTCAATTAATTCCTTCTGTAACTTTTCCTTTTCTTTTTGCTCACTTAACAGCTTTTCTCCAACATTCCAAAGTTGTGAACTCAAACTAGCAACATGTGTCTTATATTTACTTAATCCATCTGCCTGTTTGCGACATTGTAATTCCATTTTTCTTTGTAATAGTTCCAATCTTTCTTGTACACATTGTTCTTGCTCTTTGTTTAGCTTAGCTATTTGTTCATTATATGCTATTTTCTGTAATGTTTGTCACAGATGTAAGGTAATAATTGCAATGATTAAAAAAAAAGCTATTAATATGCCTACCATGTTTTGTTTAATTTCATCTACTTTAATTTTATATTTATCATGAATATCTTTTAACTGATTATCGACGTCCTCTTTTGTTGGTCGTTTGCTTAATTCAATCTTTTCCTCTTGAAGCTTTAAATTCTGTTCTTTCAGTTGGATTAATTCCTTTTTTAACTCTTCTACTTCTTTCAGTGATGTTATTTCCATTCCTTCTATTTTAATGCTAAACTTACCAATATCCTCTTCTAATTTTGCATTTTTTATGCGAGCACAATCTAATTTAGTTTTTAAATGATTTTTATTTTCCATCAATTCATTAATTTGTAACTTTAACTCTTCCTTTGACTCAGACTGAAATTTTATTTCATTACATTTGAAGTTATTTTCGAAAGAAATAACTAATTTTGAAAAATTATCTATCTCATTCTGTAATTGAACAATATCTTCATGCAATATTTTATTTTTGTGTAATTCTGCTTCAATTATTTTTTTTTCATCAAAAAAAAAATCTGACGAAATATCTAATATTTGTTCACTTTTTGTTTCCATATAAATATCTTTAAATTTCTCTTCGACCCATAAAAATTTGTTCCATAAAATATTTTGTAAGGGTTTTATGTTTTGAAAATGACAAATATAATGCTTAAATAATTTATTTTCTAAGTATATTTTTTTACTTTGTATATACTTTAACTCACTGTGCAGAGATGTATCCATTACAAAAACATTACATGTATTTGTCAACAAGTTATCCCATCTTTGTTTTAATTCATTTAATAATGCATCTAAATTTTCTCTTGACTTTATAATATTTCTTAAACAATCTGTCAATGATTCCTTATGTTTTATAATTATATTTATATATTTGATATGTTTTTCTTTTAAATGACTCAGTTCTTGAATCTTGGTTTCTGTTAATTTGATTTCTTCATATTTTGCAACATAATCATTTATAATTACCTTTTGGTTTTTCAAAGTTTTATTCAAACTTGCATTTTCGTTTGAAAGTTTTAAAATTAATTCACGTGATATCTGCATTTCATCAATAGATGTAATTATAGTTTGTAAAATATTTTCAATTTTATTATCATTGTTTATGCACTGTACATTATTTATAACATTAACATAAGAATATCCATTCTTTGTATTTACTTGTTCCATTGTTAATCTTAAATCATTTATTGAATGTTGTAATTTTTCACATACTTCTATCATTTTCAATTTTTCTGCATCTTCAGCTTTACAGGATTCTTTATTTTTATTAAGTTCATTTCTTTCTCTTTTTAACATTTGTTGCAATTCTTCAATTGTTTTTGTTTGTTTATAAGATTCTGTTTGTAATTCAGACTTCATACTTTGCAGATTCTTATATAATAATTTTTGATTTTCCAGTTGTTTACAATATACTGTTTTTGATTCATTGAATTCTTTTTCTAATTGTGAACATTTTTTTGTTAAAGCTTTCTCTTGTGTTTTTAAAACTTCATCTTGATTATTTCTTACTTCTTGCAAATTCATAATTATTTCCTTCAGTTTTGTTTCAGATGTAGCTGTTTCTTTTAATAACTTTTCAAATTTATCTTGCATAAGTTCCAATGCTTCTTGTTTTAAGTTTACTTTTCTATTTAAATGATCTAAATTACATTGTTTTTCTAATAACTTTGTTTCCAGATCTTTTATAAAATTTTTCATTTTAATTTCCTCTCCTATTTGTAACTGCATTATGTGTTCTTTTTCTATTTTCAAGGAAGTAATTTCTTCTGTTAGATTTTCAACTTTCTCGTCTTTAGACTTTAATTGATTTGACATATTACATATTTCTTGTTGAGTTTTTTTTAACTTATCATTTATATCATTTAAATCAAGTAAAATGTTTTCATTTTCAGATTTAAAATCTACATTTTGTTTTAAAATTTCTTCTTCTGTTTTTTCAAATTTTTCCAATTTTTGCACAGATTCCATTAATTTCTTTTTAGTATACATTAATTCTGTTTGTAAATGATTTATTATTTGTTCATTATTTGTTAAATCATTTTTTAATGTAACATTTAAACTTTTACTATCTGATAATTTCTTTTTACTATCAGCAAGTTCGTTTTTAAGTTGATATTTGCAAATTTGTTCTTCAGTATAATTAGTATACAATACTTTATAAATATTTAAAATATCTTGACTGGTTTTCTCATTATAATTTTGATATTCGTTTATCTGCTTCAATATATCTTCTTTCATTAAATAAAATTCTGCTTCAAATGTTTGGATCTTTTTTTTAAATGTCTGTAGACACATTAAAGAAGTTTTTAATAGCGCATCTTTCTTATTTATTTCTTCTTCAAATATGCACAAATCTGCTTCTAAACCTTGTTTTTGGATTTCAATTTGTTTTAAATACGAAATTTCTTTAGAATATTTTTCTACAATTGTAGTAAGTTCATTAATTTTGGCTATACTTTCTACAATTATTTTATTTAATTTTGATGTCTCAGTAAAATTCTGTTCATCCTTCTCTTCCAATTTAGATATTAGTGATTGAGAAACTTCTAGTTTCAATTTAAGTTCATCCATCCTTTCATTTAACGAATCTAATTCCATTTGTTTTGAAATATACCTTTTGTTAAAATTGCATAATATTGTTTGTAGGTGTTCTATAAGTTCAATGGTTGTTTTATTATCTAAATTATCTTTAATGCAATCAGTTTCTGAATTATGAAATATAATCTCTTTTAAATTGGAATAATACAAATCAACAGAAGTTTTATATGCATTATTTTGATCTTTTAAATCTTGAATATATTTAAGATTTTCCTGTATCTGTGACTTAATTTCTTTAATCTCAGTATTTAATTCAATATTATTCATATTTTCTTTATTTAATAATTCCTCGAAATTTTTATTTTTTTCCCTCAGAATTTTTACTTCAATATCTAATGTACTTTGGCATTTTTTAACATATGACAAGGATTCTTTTTCAGAGTTGTATAATATTTCTAAATTTCTATTTTCATTTACTAAAACCTCTTTTTTTTCCTGTAAGATTTCAATTTGTTTTGTCAACTTATGTGTAGTTGTATTTAATTTTATTTGTGTATCTTGTAATATTTGTGTTTTTTCTTTTAACAGTTCTGTTGCACTTTCATATTCATGACTTATAGATTCTAGTTTTTGATTTACAGTATCAAGTTGAATTTTTAGTAAAGCAGATTCTTCTTTTGCTTCTTGTAATTGAATATCAATTACAGAACTTAAAACTTCACTGGTGTTTAGAGAAGTGAGAGATGAATTTAAAGGAGCTATCCCATCAATTTCAAAACTTTGCTCTTCAACTGCTGTTTTATTAAGTTCCTTTAAATGTGTGCGTAACTCTTCGTTGGTCATTCTTAAATTTATTAATTCTCTATCTTTAATTTCTTCCTGAATTTGCATATTTTCTAAAGATTTTTCACAATTTTCTACCTTTTCTTTAAAATATGTACAGTGAATTTCTACACATGCCAATCTTTTTGTTAAAATGTTATTATCTGCTTCAAGCTTTTCTATCTCACATTGTTTTTGCATTAGTTTATCCTCTAAATGATCTATTTCCTTTCTGTAATATTGCTCATATTCTGCTGTATCTTTACTTTTTTTACAAGATTGTGGAGTGTCTGGTTTCATTTTTTCTTCTTTTAAAGCTTTTATTTCTGTAATCTTTTCTTGTAATTTTTTCTGTAGATTTTGTACTTTGGTTTGTTGGATTCGTAAATCTTCTTGTAAATCAGCTTTTTCAAATCTTTCTACTTCCAATTCAGTTTTCAATTTTCTTATTTCTCTATTTCTTTCACTGAATATTTTATAACTTTGAGCAGACCATGTTGCAGGAGAATTAAAAAAATCCTTAAAAGATCTTATTTTTGGTGTTTTAGGTGTTTTAGATACATCATCTTCTATTTCAACAATTATTTCTTTTAATGTTTCTCTGTTTATATCTTTTCCATATGGAATAATCATTTCAAGAAATGATTTAATTTTAAACTGTGTTTCGTGTTGTAAATTAATACACATAGGACGATAAAATAATGGTTCTTGAGACGCACGTAATAAAAATAAAGATGCAATATAAGCTTGTTCCATTTCTCCAAAATTTTTGTCATCAAACTTATACTTTGGATATTCATCTATAGAAAGAATAAAAAAAAAAATATATATATTCTTTTGAAATAATTAAGTAATATATTTAATATTTATTACATGTTTACGTACTTTGTAAAAAGTTAATTATAACATTTTCTGTGTCTAAATTATCTTTTGCACCTTCCCATGAACTATAAAATAAAATACATTTGGCAAGAATAAACATATTTTAATACAATGAATATTATATATTATTATAAATCCATATCACTTAATTAAAAAGAAATTTTCTTTATGATATTTGATTAAAAATCTAAATATAAATAAATGAAAAATTACTTACAATAATTCTATTAATTTCTTGTAAAATTTCCCATTATCCAACTCTTTCAAATCTTTAATATTCGTTCCGAATACATCTAATGAATTTAGCTGAAAATATTAATACTAAAATTTTTATTTTAAAACAAATTACCATACATATACATTGCGTTTATAATATTTATAACAAAAATTTATTAATTCTTCATATTTTTAATCGAAAAATTTAACAAATATGTATAATAACATAACAAAACGTAAAACTCAACCTATTTATTTTATTTAAATAATTGTATGACGATGTACTTTGAAATAATAATTTTTTTTAAACAGCAACTATTAATTTTTCATACATTTCTACTTATACAATTTTACTACTTACCCATTCCAATAAAATTTCAATCCACAATTTCATGGCGTAGGAAAAATTTTATTTACGTCTATGAAAATGGTAAGTAACAGTTAAAATTTATATCCTCTTTCTATTTCAGTATATTGTTCTAACGTTCATCGGAGGTACGTTTAATTTTAAATATCCATTGCTTTCTTCACTGCGCAAGTAAAACTACCTATTTACATTATAACAAAAATATCTCTATGTCATGCTTAAAATCCCTAAATTTTTATAAAATCATGTTGTTTTCAATAAATAATGTGAATGTAAATTATTCAATATATCATAAATGTCATTAATTTATAAAAATTGATAATATGCAAAATACTTATTATTACACTTATTTTTTTATTAATATTTATATTATGAAATTAAAAAATTCATCATTGAAATACATTATAACAGTATACCTACATAGTAACTTACTAAAATATAGTCAATATGTGTTATAAATTTGTTTGCAATAATTTTTAATTGAAAGATATGAATCATGGTATAAAAATTTATTGACAGTTTTAAATTATATTTTATAGGTAATATATAAAAAAAATTGTATTTAAATTTTATAAATAAATTTTTCGTATAAGTAATATCATTGAAAAAGTTAACGTATATGAATAGATAAAAATAATATACGACGAATTATTTGTATTGCGTAAAAAATGACATTTTCATATGTATATATGTATAATTAATACAGTAGTTAATATATATATGTATAAATAAACGTATATACGTTATAAGATAATTAAGAAAATTAAGAAAATAATTTAAAATATTTGATAATTTTTCCTTATCTTTTTTATTTTCTTTATTTTATTGAAATCACTATTCAATTTACATATGTCTTTCATAATTCCTTATTAATAAAAATGAAATCTTGTTGTATAAAATTATATAAAAGTATTGTAAACTATGATGCATATACATATGCATATAAATTTGTAATTTTTTAATTTTTAGTGATATGACTAATTTAATATTCGGAGTTGGTATAGGATTGTTTCTTATTTTGATTCTTTGGGGTTTGGCCTTATTGGTATTTATTATTTCTTTAAGAATTGAAAATAAAATTGGTACTATTGTTATATTTATTGTTAGCATATGCACAATCATTTTAATTACATTACCAAGGGCATCAGAAAAACCTAATACAATTGACAAAAAGGTATATCAATAATTTTATTCCACAAAGTTTTTATATATACTTATATTAGTATTTGTAAAATAATTGTGTATTTTATATAATATTACATGTGAAAGTTATATTTTGTTACAGATATATGATCATTTATTTATTTGGCGTATTTTACTACTTATATTATTAATAATATCATCTCTAATTGGTTTAATGGGATACATTAAATTTGCAGTAATAGAATCTATTAGACCAATCAGAATAACTAACTGGATTTTTTAAAAATTTCTGGTAAGTATTACTTTGTTCTAATTGTGATAATAATAATAGTATATTAAGATGAAATAAGTTTAAAAATACGCTATTAATATTTTTTAATTTGTATGAACTTTCAGCATCTACTAATAAACAGAAATATCTTCTATTAGTTATGTAAAATACTTGGGCAAGACTGCTTTGATCTTATTTATACTTAATATTCTTATTTACTTTGTAATATAATATTTAAAGCATTACAAAATGATGCGTAGTACTACTAAGTTTTCCTCAGCTCTGATGAAATGTTTTTCTTCATCATGTCAGAAGAATAAACAATTCGAAATAAATAACAATAGTGAATTTGTTAGTAAAGTAATGAACAGTTCAGTACCTGTTATTGTAAATTTTCATGCAGAGTGGTGTGATCCTTGTAAAATACTCACACCTAAATTAATAGAACTTATAGGACCAATGGATAAATTAGATCTTGCCATTGTAAATTTAGAATCAAATCCAGAATTAGTACATATGTTTGAAGTAAAAGCTGTACCAGCAGTTATAGCAATTTCAAGTGGATTGGTAGTTGATAAATTTGTAGGTTTAACTGATCTAGATATTATAGAAAATTTAATAAAGAGACTTACTAATACAACTTTAAACTCTGAAAATGATAAGAGAGAATCATAATATGGATCCCATGTATTATGTAAAATTATTACAATAAATAATTTAATGTATTTTTCTAGTTTGTATTGTGTTATGTAATTCTGTTTTAATGGTAATATTATGTGATGGATATTTTTAACAATAATTACATGTTGTAAATAAATAGATAAAATTAAGAGAAAAAATATTAAATGTTAAATAATATTATGTTTTATTAATGAATGTAATCTTCTATAAATCAAGCCAATTTTAAGAAACAGTTAAAAATTTCAGGGTTGTAGCTGGAATTGATATTATAACTCTTTTTTAAGTAATAAGTACTAAGGATAACAGTTGTAATTTCAAAAAAGATAACATTTTTATTTGTTATTTTATAATTTTCATAATAATATTTTGTTAATTATTTTATAAACTTTCAGTAATTTATTATGTGTATCAATAATATTATAACATGATTATAAAATGATTTTTGAACTGATTTTATATTACATACAGTATGTTATAATAATTAATGTTAACGGCCTTTTTTAATCTACAATTTCATGACGTCAGTTGTATTTATTAAACTAACCCTAGTTTAAAACTGAAATATATTTCAAGGAACTTACTTTCTTTGCATAATTACTATCACTATCTAAATATCTCTTATTGGAATACAATTGATAAGATTAACTTTATTGATCTCAATAAAATTTGTGTAAAGCATATTATGCAATAAAGTTAACAATAAATATAAATCTAAGCTGATAAAGCATAACTAATGCAAAGATTATAAACAAACTATTACTTAATCTGACTCCTAGTTTCATATTTATTCTTGATCTTGAAGCAATTCTATACAATCTATGTAAGAAATTATTGTTGATTACAGATAATAGGCCAAAGATTTAATAAAAAACATTTAATTCATATACTCTCTGAAAGAGATTTTTTATCCCTTGGCAGCAAACGATACATAGATGTGTACCAACAATTAAAAAGCTAGTTAAAATTTTTTCATCAGTCAGGTGCTTCCAAAAAGAACACCATGATAAGGCAATGCTGTGATTTTTTGGTTGCTTGCAAAACTTTTAATGTTTTGTGTTCAACATATTTTATTTTTTTTCTATTCAATCGTAAGCATAAGAATATTTTATATTTTTGCAAGCAACCCTATCTTTCTTATTAGTTTAGTAACCAGTATACATATTTTAATATGTACAAAATTAGGTGAGAACTCTCAATGAATTTCTTTCTTAAAAGAAGAAATGATAATAGATTTATTTTCCTTCTCTAGATAAATATTGTGGTGTATTCATCCACAATAATTTTTATTGCAACATTTGGTTTCATTTTGTTTTCTATATAATCATTAATTATTATTTCCAATGAAGTTTATAATAAGAATATAATACACCACCATGATTATCCAGATTTTTATACAATAATGACATACAAATAAAAAGTTGTGGAGTTATATTTAACACTGCCATTAATGCACCGATATGTACCGTAGAGGTGATTTTATGACCCCACAAAATTACATATTCAGTAAATACATTTGGACGCTTTAATCTTGCAGAAATGTTACGCATATTTACAACTTATCTATATCAAATAGTTTAAAAAAAATGTAACAAAATGTAGAAAAACACGAATGATATATACAAATTTCTCCTGATGTTACTTGTTATTAAACATATCTGATAGTAATAATATAGAAAGATTTTTACCATTTTTAAATAAATAATATGATTTATAGCAACCTCTATTCTTATGAATGCATTTATTCCGAAAAATTCGTTATAAACTGTAGTATTACAATTTAAAATAAAAGTATACATTAACATTGTTAAAAGTTGTACTAATAGTAATTATTATTTTCATATTATTTTTATTTTTAACTTCACATTAAATTACTGATAATTCGAATAATTACTTTTCAAATTGAATTTTGCATGATTTCATTTTATGAAATTAATAACAATAACAAGTGTTAAAGTACAAATATTGTAATATTGGTGAAATTTGAAAATATTTACGTTATTTTACACTAATACAAATAATAATTTAACTGATTAACAACAAGTAACATCTAGTTCTCATCGCTAGTAAATCATCTAATCATTATATGATACATAGTATAATACAACATGATACAATTTACTTTGCATTGAATAACTTGGCGATTGATATTAGTCTTCTCGATAAATGTGTAAGAAGTAATAATTTTTTAATTATACCTCATAAAATATTATCTACTTTCTGTATAAGTTTTTAAAATTCAATTTTTTTCCGAATATGTGTCAAGAAAACTGTATCTGTTAGAGAATTGTTGCAATAAAAACAATACAGAAATGAGTGGCTAGACAAAAAATATTTGGCGAATGAAAATTTTAGGAAAATTACATAATAAAGAGTATTCTGTAGCTATGCATAAACATGCTCACACACGAACACACACGTTCTCTCTCTCTCTCGCTCGCTCCCTCTCCCTCCCGCTTTCTTTCTCTCCCATTTATATATTGGAATTAAGAAACTAGTGTTAAAAATCGTTGATTTTTAATATCTACAATGTCCAAAATAATCTTCCATCAAAATCTTTTGTATTTATCATTTTATAACTGGAATGAGTTATTTACTTTTACTGCATTCATATCAATATTTATGACGCATGATTAAAAAAAAGTGATTGTATGAAAATCTTAATACATATTATTACAGAAAATTAAAAAATACTTTATCATACTTCTGCTCCTAAATCTCGTACACCTTGTTCAGCTATTGGAACATATTTATCATCAATTTTGACAAGTAAAATAACTTTATCTACGTGAGATCGCCGATTAGGATCGCGATGATTTGGGGACCAACAATGAACAACGCATCCTTCCATACCTCTTTCAGGTACCCAATGTTGCCATCCAGATCTACCACCTTGTTGTCTCATCCTCTCATCTGGCCAAATTACGTCTATGCGACGACCCAAATTAATAGCATCATATACTTGATTAGGATCTATGATCTAATAATAAATAAAAGTACATAATTTTTAATAAATTAAGAGGTAGATCACAAAGATTTTTATATGTGTTTATAAAAAACGTTTAATTTTATACTTACACGTACTCGTTGTAAAACTTCATCCTTCTCAAGTTTACTTGTAAAACTTGTTTCACTTTTAGTTTCAGTTTTAATATCGCTATTACTAAGAAGACCAGCTAAACTAGCAAGTGTCGAACTCGTAGGTTTTCCAACTGAAGCCAAGGACCCTCTATTTCCACCTAAAGATCCAGTATTTGCTCTTCCTAAAGAACCACGTCCGGTTGATGCACCAATTTGACACCCAGATTCTATGGATTGTGAACCAGATGTGTTATGACCTGCTGATTGCCCATAACCTATATTAAAAATTTTATTTTTATTTTATGAATACAAATAATATGATGATTGTAAATACCTAAATGAATATTATATGTAGTCATTGCATATACTCCATCATTTCCAAAACCTCCATCATCTTGAGACCCTGTTCCACCTGATGAACAACCTTGACCACATCTTTGTCTGATTCTACAAATAATAATTTAATTTTTAATTTTTAATTTTTAATTTTTAATTTTTAATTTTGTTATATACAATTTTTATAAATAAGTATAGTTTATAATCATATGATATAGCAGTAAGTCTTACCTTTGCCATAATTTTAAGACATTACTTTTAATTATACCAAGACTTAAAGGTCCACCAATTATGGAACATAATTGTTCATTAGTTTCTGCGTAACTAGTTGTTAATGGTGAGACATAAATCGGGTATCCAATCGGTTGATCGCAAGAACTATTTATTATATTTCTAAGAGCTTGTTTTGCATTTTGTATAGATCCGCGTTCAGGATTTCTATTTCTCAAGTAAACTAATTCTTGTTGCTGCCCAGCCCATAAACCGCGAACACATTCACGATTCATTTTAATCACTCGGAAACTTAAGAAACGTTTATTAAGCATTATCACCTTATATTCATCAATGCCTTCATCAAGTATGTGTCTATAAATCAAGATGAAAGATAATAACAATGTAGTAATTTTGCATTTATAAATATTACTTTGTTAAATTACCTAAGAGCCAAAAGACTAGGTGCACCATTTAAAACGGCGTTCCTCCAAAGTGGATCTGCTTCATGACTAATCACGAGATTTTTATCATGACTATCTATAGCTTCATAAAGAACAGACGAATCGCCATATTGCTCTGGAGTCATAAAATGATCTTGATGTAGTTTTAATGCCATTCTTACACCTTTCGCGACGACACTCCGTAATAAGTCAACATCATGTAAAACCCATTCATCTCGAACTGATGTTATACGGAAATCACCTAAATACATAAATGAACTTTATAAATATTATTCTTAAATATACTTAATTTTTTAATTAGTTGTCATAAAACAACATACCTTTAAAAAGAGCATGTAAGCCATACAAAAAGAATTCGACACTGGAAACAGTATTATGAGATAATGCTCCCAAAACACGTCGTCCCAAAAGACTTAGAGCAAGACATAAAGATACCAATGACGAATTTTTTGATTTGTCTAATGTCTAAAATAGTTACAAAGAAATGTTATGTAAATGTTTATATAGTTTATTTATATTTGAAAACTTACCTTGTCTTGTTTAGTAACACAATATTGTATCCAATCTAAATAAACATTACAAAAGCTGCTTCTTGTAATGCCACATGTTCGGATATCATAATCCTCGTGAATACTCATATTAAAAACTGGATCCAAATCGACGAAATTTTTATCAAGAGTTATTTTTAGGGCATCTAAAATATCGTTATTCTCCAACCAATATTTTAGTTTTGATGATTTGACAGCATAAAAAACAATACTTTTGACATAATAAGTAACTAGTATTTTACGAAATTCAAACACTTGAAGCATAGAAACTGCTGAATTATCTGAGATCGAGTATCCTTCTAAAACGTACTTAGCACTTGCAACTTCCCAAGCTAACCAGCGTTGACTAAAAGCTGCATTTACACTTAGCACATTTGAAAAATGTCCCATTTCACAACAACAACAATTGTCATTATCTTCAATTTCTTCAGAAATTGCTTCTACCTAGAAATTAAAATATTTTTGAATATGATAACGTATTATTTTATTTAGAATTTTTAATATCTAAAATTATATGCATACTTCTCTTTGCTGACAATAAGTTCCTCTAAATTCAAGGCCTCTCAATTGAAAGGTTACTAAGCCATTTCCTAATTGAACAATATGTACCAAACAGTTCAAGTAGTCAGATGCTAATAGAAAACAATCACCTTGTTCTACATTTCCCCAACGACCAAGAGCAAGATCTCCATAAAGACTGTGTTGTAGTGATCTTGTTAATTGTTCATAAAAAATCGAATTCAAATTATTATCGTCCGCACCTAGATTTCGTTCTAAATGAGAAGACATTCGTGTATTTGAATGGTCTACTCTTCTTGTTTTATAGTCTCGTTCCCAAAATTTCACTGGACGTACATATGACGATATAAATATTGCACTGCCCAAAAGGGGATTTAAAGGAGTACTTAAAAGTGCAGAAATCCCTGCTTGCAGGAACAACATAGCAGAATGAGGAACAGAGAAAGGCTGAGCGAATGCGTGAAACGCACTACCCCAAGTAATTTGCCAAGGTGCAATATATGTGACTACAAATCGTATTTTTAACAATAATTCATAAATTTTTGCAAATGCTATTCCTATGACAAAATAGTCTACTAAAAATGTTTCACTAAGATTTCGAAAATCTAGTTTAAAAAATAGAACAGCAAAAATTAGAACTAGGTAACGTGTTGATGGGTCAGAATATGCAGATCTTAAAGATTTCAGTCCACATACAACTATGATTAATGCTCCCACACTTTCTCCAAATTTAGATACAATTTTTGATGAACATTCTGTGAGTGCTCCTAAAAACACTACTGGATAGAGAATGTTTCTTTCTAAAAAGCAAAGGCAAACATATGCCTTTTCAAACCACATAATTTTCACAGGTTCACGAACTTCAAATTGTGCATGTTCGTGGCTACGTAATACTGGTCTTGATAAACATAACCATGGTAATTGTTTTCGAAGTTGTGGTACAATATAATGTAGTAAAAATCCAAGGCAACTTGCAATACCCCATAAAACTGGATTCAGTTCAGGTTGTAAGGCTGTAAATACAGTTGAACAATGGATTCCAAAAGATAAAGTACCTATCACTGCACACACTATTAAATCATTTTTTAATCTTGCATTCACTGTTGCCCTTAATTTTTCAGGTAAGGGATCTACCAATTCTGTATCTGACATTTGTTCACCAACTTTAATTTTTACATGTTTTTTTCTACCAGAAGTTCTAATTTTTGCTTCTTTGTATGTTGTTGGTACATTATCTCTACGAGATGTATTTTCAATGATTTTGGCTTCTTTTTCTTCTGTATAAATTTCTGGTGGCCACAAATTTGTTTTTACTATATCCCATATTACTGTAGGATCTGAGGATGATCTACTTAAATGATAAGATATAGCAACTAATAAACCCGCAAAAATAGAGAACAAAATATGTTGTGAAGATTTAGGCTCTGTAAGTGCTCCATAAGCAAAGCCATACAATATAACAACAGTAACAATGCTACGACAAAGAGAATATATTGAAGAGATTAAACTTGTAGTTGCATTTCCACCAAATAAGTGGATATCAATATGTTCACAAAGATACATTAGAAAAGTATTAATTTGAGGAAGTAAACCCAATGAAAATATAATAGGAAAACATAAAAGAAAAATTAATAAAGCATTACGAATTTGTAATATAACATCGTAATCGGCAATTCGCATACCATATATTCGAAATTCCGATGTTTTAAAATTTCTCAAAGATTCATTAAAGATTAATATAAATCCTGAACACAATATATAATATACCGGTCGAGAAAATACTATAATACGATTAAATCCATGTGTTGGAGAAGCAGCATCAGGCTGAACAGATTTTAATAATGAATATTGACATCCAGAAGTTACGAAACAAAACATGAAAGCAAATATATCTCGATAAAATCCTTGTTGGAGCAATACAAGACCTAATCCTGCAACAGTAACGGCTAGAAACGTAGAAATAATAGTTTCAAATATTGTCAAATTTCGATCTAGTAAGGCCAACAAAAATAAACGATCGAATCGCATTTTGATATGCGGTAATTTGCCAAATTTCCATTTATAATAATATTGTTTATCTTGTCTTGATTGTTTAGGTTTAGAATCAGATCCGTCTAAACCACCAATAAATCGATTCCAAGATAAACTTGTATTTATATCACCTACTGCACTTGTTTGTAAAGTTAAAGCAGGCCTGTCTCGGCGATTTGAATCTGTTGAATAAATGTTTAAATTGAAATATCCCAATAAATTTCGCAATCTTTGATTTGTTTCTGTCATTGATTCTATACGTGATAATATGTCTTGATGGAACTGATCTCTTTCCAAGGTTTCAAGTTCACATTGAATAGAATTCCCATTATTTTGATGAAATTGATCACGTTCTGAGGTTTCCACTGGATTTGATGACAATGAATTTTGTGCCTTGGTTTGATTGCTTTCTGGACTTGATAAAACAGGTGGTGTGTCTATTATAACACTCAAGTCAGGAGAATTCAAAGATAAACTACTATAACTGCTACTTAAGGAGTCTATTAACTCCCAGTTGGCATCGTAATGTAAATTTTGATTAAGTTGTTGACGTAACAACGTATTTAATAATTTATCATTATTGTTGGAAGGAATTTGCGCAGCTGCAGCAACACCAGATCCTTTTTCATCAAAGGTATAAGCTAACCAACGTCCATTTTCATCTCGAAAATAAGGTACAGCTGCTTCTGTAGTATCATTGTGATTAGTAATTAAATGACATTCTTCATTTGATATCAATCTAAATAAAGCAGTAAGTGGAACAATATTATCATCTCGATTTCTGTCTCGTGGTACACGATGAGGTCTAATCGAACATTTTAAAGGACTACGTCTTTTTCGTGAATTTCGGTTTTCTGAATTGCGATTTAATCTTAAATCGGACACAGTACTAGATTGACCTGGTAATTCTCGGCCAGATGTTAATAATGTAGCTAATAAGGAAGATGCAAGACTAAGTGTACTTAACTCATTGTTTGAACCGCTAGTTTGCTCAAATCTATCAAATCTTCCATCTCTTCTTCTGTCCTTTTCTCTTTTGATTGCTAGTGTCCGTTTTAATTTTTGTCGAGTTGGTTCAGTAGTTGTTATATTATCATCTATGGTTTCTATTGCAGGTTTTGGACGGTTTTGTTTGGGTATTGCACCTTGATGTCGTTTATTATCTGTTTCTACTTGTGGAAGTAACATTCTTTTTACCTCATTTTCCATATTCGATGAATATGTTGTATATTCAAAAGGCATCATATTAGATGAACCAGAATCTGGTTCTTTATTATGCGATCCTGTGGAACAAGAATTTAGAAACTTTATTTTCGTTTTTTTTGTAATTCTTTTAACAGTAGGTATCTATTTAATATAAAACTTAAAACTTTACCTTTATTTGTTCGTGATTCTATTGTGCAATCACCACCTTCAAATAATTGATCTATTCCAACTATACTTCCAACATTCAAAGGATCATCTATATTTTTCGACTTATCTTGCTTATCTTTGAACAAATTTTCTAAATCTGAAAATTCATGGCTGCTTTGGCTAGCATTACTGTATCTTCTTTTAATAACAGGCTTTGGTTCTTCAATTAATGCATCACGAGAATTAGCAGAATCATTATCTACACCACCATCTTCATTACGTCTAAATATAAAGTTAAATTTAAGAATTTTATATTAAATGCCTAATAAGTATTAGGCATATTTATTTTAATTACCTTGAAAATCTATCTTCAAATCGGCTAGTACTAAGACTTCTGTCCCGATTAGAAGTAGGATTAGTTTCACAAGTCTTTCGAGTAAGTAATGGACTATACGAGTCCTGAAGACTAAATCCTCCAGAACTTTCATTAGCAAATTGTTCGTCACTTTGTTCTGCTATAGGATGTACTATTTCTGATCCATAACTAAGATATGGTAATAATTGTAATTGATTTTTTTTTAATGTATTTTGTGGTAATACCTTTAAAATGCATATAACTTTTTAATATTATTTATATAAAATACTAGACATAAATATCATAATATAATGATACCTTTTTAGTATTAATTGTTTCAAGACTTTGTGGATGAAGAGGTAAGTTATTGTCATCAGTAGTGTTTATATTTTTATTAGTAGCACCAATTGTTTCAAGACTTTGAGGATGAATAAGTTGTTGATGTGGTTTTTTTGTAATAACCTTATAAGTAAAAAAAGTAGGTATAATATCTAACCATTTCCTAAATGTTTTTTCAAGTAAATAAGATTTCTTCATCTTTACCTCTAAAGATTGTGGATGTGACGAAATTTTATTTTTTTCAGTATCTTCCTTTTTTGATATAATTTCTAAACTTTGTGGATGGTCATTCATTAAATGTGTTTCCATTGGAATCGAATTAGAATTAAGACGTCGAACACTTTGGTTTGATTTCCAGTAAGGATAATCATCTCCATGGTGTTCCAGTTCTAATGAACTTGTTTGTTTTATCTGACTTTCAGAACCTGTTTTACCAAGACTACCCTGTTTGGAATGACGATTTGGCGAATCTTCAGATACATGTCTATATAATTTTCTTGAACCTTGTCGATCCTCTTCAGTAATTACAACACATTTCAGTCTTTTCAACCTTCTTTCTATATATATTTAAAATTTCCCAAAAGAAATATTAATATGTATGAAAATAGATAATTGTATTATAGTGGTTGTATCATAGAAAATTACAAAATTAATACCATTTAATATATTTCGAAAACATGGTTCATGATATTGTGCAGAAGATAATTCTGCTTCATGTATATTTATACTAGATACCATTGGTTTATTCAGCTGTTGCGCTTCTTCTGAACTTTCTGAGCTATTTTTTCTGTGAATTTCTACCTTCAAATCTATAGTTGAACTAGCCTTATAACGTGTATATTCAGATATTATACTATCTGCATCTTCATTTTGCACATTTGATTCAATAAAAGAGTTACGTGATGAACATTCTACAGGTGGTGTATCTGTTTTTCCTGTACAAAAATGATAAATTCATAACAAAATTTTTACAATATAATTAGTATAATTTTAAAAGTTATTTACTTAAAATTTAAAGATTATTAAAATTTTAATATGAACAATAAATTTATATAACAGATTTATAACATAAAAAAGTCTATTATACCACTTAAGACTTGTAGTTCTATTCCGTGATCTACTTGATCTTGTGTTTGTTCCCTGCATTTATTATGCACTGTGCGTCTTTTTTCACTTTCTGATTTTTGTTGGTTAATATTTTGACCGGATTCCTCTAAACATTCACTCGTATCATACATGCAATGGAGTGCATGATTAACACATTTTATTGTACCAAAAAGTGCTCCAATTGAAGAACAATATGCTATCCAAACATATAATGTTGGTGGAAAATACTATAAAATAAAGAATTGATATTTTAAAAATTTATATTACAATCATACAGTATTTTTAAATAGACAATTTTGGAAACCTATATATATATAGTCATGTGTGCATGTATATATACAAATCAAAATTCATGAAAAATAAATCAAACTCAAAACACATGGTACGTAAATTACTATTTAGTCTATAGATAATGTAAACACATACAATTCATATTATTTATCTAAATTGGATTACTTATAACTAATATTAATATACATATAAGTAAACTTACAAGATATATGGCAAATGGTAAGCAAAGTAAGAAAAGCCAAATGTACAAGTGAAAGGTATTTGAAAAAACGTCGAGATGGGGATCGTAAAACCAGCCTCCTGTCAGGCTCGCCCAGACGCCTTGTCTCAAAATTTCCAGCGTTTGAGAACCCATACCAGTTGCAAAAGTGCTCCTTCACCATCTTCCCATCACTTGCTGTTTTACAGCTTTATTCGTGGTCTGTTTTTTCTATTCGAAAAATTGCGTGGCAAACAATAAGGCAATACATTTTATCTCGGCCTTCTTAATCAATGGATTTGGCGCACACGACTTACTAACTTCGCAGCCATCTTCACATCTCAGATGATTTTGAACATGAACAATATGATTTTATACATGATCAGAATTTCTACTACTTTTTTTGAAATTACTTTATATGAACTATTTATTGACATTAATTATAATCGATAAAAAAACAATTACATGTGTAATATTTGTTTAGTATTATTTACGTATTTACATATCTATTAAAATATATACTTTAATTGATTAACTTTTGACATAAATATGGTTTCTTCTTGGACTATTTTGCAATCATTGTGTTGAGGATAAACCTTATACAATTTAAAATCATAAGCAGCCTTTCGAATGTCCTTTATATGAATCGTGGTCCAATATATCACGTCAACGGTGGGGCCGTCAAACGAAACATGGCGTCCGTTAGGTTATTGCTATGAGTGCTGCTTCGTTTTCTATCATTAAATGTGGAATTATCGTGCGTTTTGCGGGCTGACGCAAATCGTCGTGTCCTCGGGGAGGCAAACACGTCGCTTTCAACCCTGTATGTCCCGCGTACATTATTCCTAGTGCCGATTCAATGAAAAGAATCGGTCTCATCAACAGTGGCTTGTGGGTATACACACCCCGACGCGAGACTCCAAAGTGGTTTTATGGCATATCGAGGTTTTTCTACTCTTCTGAAATTACATCAACAGTGGCTTGTGGGTATACACACCCCGACGCGAGACTCCAAAGTGGTTTTATGGCATATCGAGGTTTTTCTACTCTTCTGAAATTTTTTCTTCAGCACTTCAAATAGGAGTATGATCGATGAAAAATCACAAGATCTTTACCGCTTTATTGCCGGACTCACGAATCAAAATGCCGGTCACCGTTAAAGTGTTTTTATGCAAGGGGTGTTAGTGGTGATGATCACCTCTTCTCACCCCACATTTTTTTTGTAAGATTTGTGCACATAATTAAATTATTGTCATAATATTCAATAATTGATTTATGTTGGTGTATTAATCATGATTTATAAAAAAAACATATGTAACATGAACATAAAATGTGTAAGAATGTGTATAGTGTTGAAAAAATAATACAGAGTGGACATTAGACTTTCACCAATTCTTATATGTTTGTTTAGCTTTTTTAGACAAACTGTTAATACTTTTACAGTGTTCTATATTATTTGTGTTTCTATTGATGAAATATTACACAAAGATTATAAAACGGAAAAGATATAATTTACAAAAAGGAAGACTTAGAAGAGTGTGAGGCCATATGCCGCCAGCCGGGCTATCGGCAAGAGGCTTGTCTACCTTGATGGACCACGGACAACCAGATGCTCGTCATCGGAGCGAGCGATTTCTACTTCATCCGGAGAATGGATCCTCTAATTCTCATACTTCTAACACAGCCAATTCATCTCCACGATATCAACATAATAATAGGACAAATAATCATTCCACAAGGTAAAATTGAGTTATTATTGTATATTAATAAATCTATAAAGTTTCATACATTTGTAATAGTGAAAAGACGTAAATTTTATATATTTTAGTTACGGATATTTATATGGACGTACATCTAACAACAATATGTCTGATAGCAGTGTTTCTGATACACATAGTGGTGGTACAGCAAGAACTGTTTCTCAACAGACTAGTCCATCTCATGGTACACATTCCTCTTCTCAATCACGACAAGATAATAGTTCAACAATTTTCACAGCATTATTTGATTATGTTGCCCAAGGCGAGGATGAGTTATCGTTACAAAGAGGTGAAACAGTTGAGGTAAATTGTTTATTATAGATATGAGTAAAATTAAATATATTTTTTTTAATTGTCAAAGTGTATACATTTCATTTTATATATTAGGTCCTATCTAAGGATTCAAAAATCTCAGGTGACGAAGGATGGTGGACTGGAAAAATCCATGGAAAAGTTGGTATTTTTCCAGCCAATTTTGTTGCAGAAGCAGAAAGTATTGATCGGGTTTCATCGGTGATTGATAAAGTTCAACCAGTTGAAATTGATTTTGATGAATTACAATTAGAAGAAGTAATAGGAGTTGGTGGATTTGGAAAAGTTTATCGGTATATAATTTCATTTTATAATACCTCTAGAATAATTAAATGTGTTAATAGTTCTTCAGAATGATTATTTATAATGTTTTAGAGGATTTTGGCAGAAACATGAAGTGGCTGTTAAGGCAGCTCGCCAAGATCCAGATGAAGAACCAAGTGTTACATTAGAAAATGTTCGACAAGAAGCTAAATTATTTTGGTTACTGAAACATGAAAATATTGTGCAATTAGAAGGAGTTTGTTTAAAAATGCCAAATATGTGTCTCGTAATGGAATATGCGCGAGGTGGTAGTTTAAATAGGGTTCTTAATGGTAGAAAAATCAGGCCTGATGTACTTGTTGATTGGGCAATACAAATTGCTCGTGGCATGGATTATCTGCACAATAAAGCACCTATAAGTCTTATTCATAGGGACCTAAAAAGTTCTAATGGTAAGGTTGCTAACATAAATAGTTATAATACAGATTGTTTAAATATTATACATATATTTCCAAATGAAATATATTAAGATCATTTATATTATTTTTATTGACAATAGTGTTACTAAGCGAACCTATAGAAAATGATGATCTGCAATATAAAACTTTAAAAATAACTGACTTTGGATTAGCAAGAGAAGTTTATAAAACAACTCGCATGTCAGCAGCAGGCACATATGCTTGGATGGCACCAGAGGTTATCAAAAAGAGTACTTTCAGTAAAGCCAGTGATGTTTGGAGGTCAGTTTTATGTACCTCTTATTTCATTTTATAGCACACATGTTTAAATAGTAAAATATGTCTCCTTTTACTAATACATTAATATATCTACAGTTATGGTGTGCTTCTGTGGGAACTTTTAACTGGTGAAACACCTTATAAAGGAATAGATGCTTTAGCAGTAGCATATGGTGTTGCAGTAAATAAACTTACATTGCCTATTCCATCAACTTGTCCTCAACCTTGGAGATTTTTGATGGAAGGTACATGAATTTATAATTATTTACATTAAAGATATGTATTACTTTAATGTGTATAAATTTAAAATAAAATATTTAACTATTTAGCTTGTTGGGCATCTGATAGTCATTCAAGACCAGGATTTGCTGAAATTTTAGTAGCATTAGATGAAGTGCGCAGTGCATTTGCAGCAACACCACATGAGTCGTTTCATACAATGCAAGAGGATTGGAGGCTTGAAATTGAACAAGTTCTTCATGGATTGCGCATGAAGGAAAAGGTACAAATTAAAAATTTTTTTGTTTTGTAAAATTTACACAAAAATGAAATTTATATTATTATTGTAATTAGCATACATATTGTACATGTCAGTGTAAATAATGTTTATAATCCTTCTTTTAAATGCTATACAAAGGCATGCCGTTCATTAGAAGAGGTAAGATAACATGGAATTACAGTCATTGAAGTTAATAATTATTTTTATTTTAAACAGCCAGATATATGTGCTCTATCATTAAATAACAGATCTTTGTTTATTGCATTTATTTATAAAATACATTACCATAATTTTTTTATGCTTATTTATTAGGAATTGCGCTGCAGAGAAGAAGAATTAACAAAAGCACAAGTGCAGCAACGACAACATGAAGAAAACTTAAGGCAGCGAGAACAAGAATTAGCTGCTCGAGAAATAGATTTATTAGAGCGTGAACTTACTGTAATGATAATTCAGCAACAAAATACTCCCACTCCAAACAAAAGGCGCGGAAAATTTAAGAAATCGAGATTAAAACTAAATAAAAAGGAGCCTGGAAGCAATATTAGCGCTCCTTCTGGTAAATATACTATATTATTATTATTATACTAATATAATTTATGTTATCACACAAAAAGTAAAAGTACAAAATTTCAAGTACTTTAATTATAAGGGAATAATATATTTTATATATTACAAACCTGTAGATTTTCGTCACACAATAACTGTTCAACATACGGCGTTAGATCGGGGGAAAGTACGAAATCCATCAAGACCTAATAGTCCACCAGGCTCACCTAGTATTCCAAGACTTCGTGCAATTGCATGTGAGTACTTTCTAAAGATTTTTAGTAGTTGACAATTTCGATCAGTAATGAATAATTGATTTTGCTCTGAAATATTTTTTTAGTATTTTAAAGAAATTTGAATTACGCTGTTTGTGCTTTGTAGATACATTGTATTAATTTAATGTCGAATTTTATTAGCATGGTGTGAATAATTGAATATAATTTTATATATTTTTGAAAAATTACATATATATGCATATAATCTATGTTGTGTATTTTTTATTTTCTATTTCTTTTTTGTTACTTACAATGTAAAAAGAACAATAATTAAAGAATTAGAAGATTTGTATAATTATGATTATTTAATATAGAAAACCAAATGTAAAAACTTTTTTAATATTAAAATATTTAGAAAATTAATTTTATTCAACAATAAGTTCTATATGAAAATTATTTTTTATAATAGAAAGCATTCTTAATGCTAAATACTATTAATAAATTTCTTAATGCTGAATATTTAATAAAACACCTTTATCTTTTTGAAGCGCGTATAAAAATTAACAGGGTAGAAGGGAAATTTAGTATTGTAGTGAGTAGCGTTTTGTTTTTTTGTCTTCCTCCTTTAGTACCAGCAGATGGAGTAAAGGGTAAGACTTGGGGACCATCGACACTCCACCAACGTGAACGTGGGGCTATTATCATGCAACCACCAAATCCTGCATCTCCAGGTGGCAAGCGGTGGTCTCGCTCTGCTCCAGATCTTGAAAAGACACCTCTGCGTACCGCCCTGTTGGCACATCGTTCCCCGCTTCTTCAAGAAATAGGTAACCCCTCCTCCAGAAAGTTGTATTCCTCAGCAAATAATTTGATAGACAGTCAACCAGGATTTAGCTATAACAACATTCCAGAAAATTCTAACAACATTGTGCAAAGTACAAGCTGTTCACCTTGTAATATAGGTGAAGATTCAGTTATCGTGGACAATGAT